AAAAAAAAAAAAAAAAAAAAAAAAAAAAAAAAAAAACCAGATTTTTTATTTTTTTTTAAATATGAGGGACATGGTCGCTGAGTTGTCCTGTATTTTTTTAGATATGTTTTTCGGAAATATGTTGGAAAATTGGGTGTTTTTAAAAGAAAAATACAAAAATTAAAAAACAAATTAAAAAACAAGAGGGTCACGTTGGGATTAGTGTGCGTGTGTCTGTGTGTGTGTGTGTGTGTGTGTGTGTGTTGGTGTGTCAATCAATCCATCAATCAATCAATCAAGCAAGCAAGCAAACCAATCAAGATCCTATCGATTGAATAGGATCTTGATTGGTTTGGTTAGTTGATTGATTGATTAATTGATTTGATTGATTGATTGATTTGATTGATTGATTGATTGACTGACTGATTGATTGATTGATTATGTGTGTTTGTGTGTGTTGTGTGCGTGTGTGTGTGTGTGTGTGTGCATGTGTGTGTGTGCGTGTGCAGGGGGGAGGGGAAGGAGGCCCTCTCCCCAACCAATCAATCAATCAATCAATCAATTAATCAAACAAATTGAAACAATCAAACAATCAATCAATCAATCAAACAATCAATCAATCAATCAATCAAAAAGATTATCAATATTTTTTATTTTTATTTTTTTGACACATACGAAAAAACAGCCCCCCAATTTTTTATTTTTATTTTTCTTTATGAACAGGGTCATAAAGGCCGATGTGCGACGGCTTCGCGTGCGCACCGTTTTCCCACTTGCACCCTCTCCTGGGTCTGGTGTGGTCGCGCGGCCTCGGCCGCGGACCCCCGGTCGGCCTCCTCGGTTGCTGTCGAGGCCGCAGGATCCGCGGCCTTGGGTGTCACGTAGCCCGCAGGGTTTCGTACCTCCTCGTGGAGCTCTATCCCCTGAGGAGTGTGCCGCCCTTGAGATTCATCGAGGTTGTCTTCCTTGCCGCCAGGATGGATATACCTCCTCACAGTGTCCATACCATGCAGCCCTCGATCGACACTATGCTAACATTTTTCGTCGGTGTTGATCTTAAGCCCCCTCAGGCCCTGCCTAACCAGTCCCATCGAGCTAGCCACGGTGCAGTGTACCGCTGAGGCCCTGCACGTAGCCGGCTTCTCGACCATTCAGTTACTGTTTGCCCCTTTGGCTACCCCACTAGAGGACCCTAAGAACATGATAGACGTAGTTCCTTCTGCCCGCCGTCTGTCGAGGTACCGTCTACCTCACAGCAGATCACCGAGGCTAGTCCTTCTCCTTCTAGACCGACGCGTCGTGCCATTCGCACAGCTCAATGTAACTCTCAGCCAGCGACTCACGATGACATTGCGTCAGCTCTTTTGGATTTGAACATTCTTCAGGCTAGTTAGGAGCGACTCACAAGACACACGAACGTTTTGCGTCTACTCACTCTGCTCTCTGACCCTGATAGCACCCTCTCCATCATTCTTATATGCTTGAGGACATCTATGAGGATGTATCGCACTTTGTGGGACTTCGACTCGCAGGGAGATTTCATTCACCCTCGTGTGGTTGAGAAAGCTCGTCGAGCTACCTCCAGGTCTCGCTCTCTTATATCCGTTATCCTCGAAAATATCAAAACGCAGTGCTTCTTCGATCAGACGATCCCCGACTTCCACTTTTCCCTCACCCTCCAACCACGGGATAGTATCCTGATGCCTCGACGCTACCATTCCTCCACATACTTCGACGTGTTGACGACTGGGAACGACTTTATCCTTAGCTCTCTTTGGTTTCGCCGGTTTGTGGTACAGAGGCCGAATGGGCGATCGAGACACTCGTTCTCAAAACGAAGTGTGGTCAGACTTGTTGAATCTCCTTCATTGGACCCACTGGCGACGCCCCCCCGGACCTACCTCCCTAGGACCCTCGTTCCTCTGGGTCCCACCCCGACATCGCCTTCACTTCTCCTCGTAAATGTTTTCTCTTCATACGACAGGTGGACGTCACGTTCTACTCAATAAACGTCATGGATCTTCTTCGCTATGATTCACTCTGTCATGAGGTTGAGCTCATCAAATTGGAGCCCGATTCCCCTTACCCTTTCTCCATTTGCGTGGCTCCCATCTCTACGTCGACCCCTAAGCGTGCGGATACCCCCTCGACATCCCAGGTCCGCACGCCGTTCACCGTTGAGTCCATACATACGTCTCGTGCCGACGCAGACGTTGAGGAACTCACGCGGTCCACGGTCGGCTTAGAGTCTGTCGTTCGTCATCTGATTCGAGAGATCACGACGTTTTTCTCTCGTATTTCTGATACAGCGGGATCCCATCGATGCACGATGTTGAGCATTCTATCCAGATCGTACCTGACTATCGTGTCCACCATCAGACGCCCCACCAACTCTCAATTCCAGAGGCGACGGAATTCAAGGGTCACCTTAAGGAACTTTTTACACTGGGTTTCATTAAACCCAATAACTCTCCTTGGGGTGCACCCGTCCTCTTTGCTCACAAAGCGGACGGAACTCTTCGCCGCTGCGTTGACTACCGCGGCCTTAACCGTTACACAGTTAAAAACAGTTATCGTATCCCTCATGCGGATGAGTTATTTGATCGTCTGACAGGCAACCACTTCTTCACGAAGATCGACCTTTGTAACGGTTACCACCAGAACCGCATAGTCACAGAGGACCAACAAAAAACCATGTTTCGATCGTGCTTCGGCCACTACGAGTTCACGGTGATGCCATTCGACCACACGAATGCACTCGCCACCTTCCAGACGAGGATTAACTACATATTCATAAACATCCTTGAAGAATATGTTCTCATATACCTGGACAACATCTTGACCTACAGTCGTACCTTAGAAGATCATATGAGGCACCTACGCAATGTCCCACAACACTTACGCAAGCATGGCTTCTATGCCAAGCTAAGTAAGTGTCGCTTTGCCCAACGCAAAATGAATTTCCCAGTACACCATGTGTCTGACCAGGATCTCCATATGGACGATGCGAAGATCACTGCTATTGCGGAGTGACCCGTCCCCACATCTGCCAAGCAACTTCGCAGTTTCCTAGACCTCACTAGGTAATATAGTAATTTCTTCCAAGAATACACTAAGTATTCCTACGTCCTTACCTCCACCCTCCTCCGAAAGAACCCGTCGTGGTTTTGGACACCCCTTTACGAGAACGCCTTTCAAGCCGTCAAGAAGGTGGGGACTTATGTGGCGGTTCTTCGCCTCTCCGATTTTGACTGTCCCTTCATCGTCACCACTGATGCGTCAGATTTTGCAGTAGGAGTTATACTTTCTCAGGTGTTTTCCTCTCCTTCTGATTCACCTTATCGTCATATTCCTCCTTCCCCCCCTCCTCCTGATGATACTGTTTCTCGACTAACGCCTATCCTCCCACCACTTCCCTCTACTAACAGTCCTCCCGTTACTTACTCTCCGACCATCGCAGGAATGAGACTCTCGAGGCTTGCGTTGGAGATTGCTCAATCGTCTTGTACACCCATCAACTACTTCCTGCCGAGATAAACTACTTTGCAAATGAATGTGAGGTTCTCGCAGTAGTTTATATTACCTGATATTGGTGTCATTATCTTTACGGGGCGCCCTTCATTGTGCGCACAGACAACTCATTTATCCAGACTTTCCTCGTGAAGCTCAAACTCTCCCCTCGACAGACATGTTGGTGATGTGATTTATCCGAGTTCAGCCCATCAACGGTGAAACGAACCACGTCGTCGATGTCTTGTCACACTGTCCTGATCACTATCATGAACTTATCCTTTTTGTTTCAATGTCGATCACTACTGAGAATGAGTCGGTGATCGACGCTTCAGCAAGACCGGATTATCCCGTCTTGATCACAATCGCACTCAGTACCGTCACTGTCCAAATTATCCCGTCATCCACTCCACACTTCAGAGTGGCAAGAACGTTCTTTTTTACTCCCTCGGTGAGAACGGTCTTGTGTACAAGCATGACCGATTTGGTTAGCTAGAACCACGCATCTGCATTTCCTCCACTGGACAGCTCCTCGTTCAGGCTGTAGCAGAGTTCCATGACCAGATAGTTGTCCGTCGTATGAGCTTCCACAAGACGTTGGCTCGTGTTTGCCGCTTATACGTCTGGTCAAAGTCAAAGGACTTCGCCAAAGCCTATATCCAAGAGTTTCCTACCTATTAGGAGGTGAACAACGCAAACCACCTTCTGTATGAGTTACTTCAGCCCCTACCCATACGTGAGGGCCGTTGGCAGTCCATCTCGATGGATTTCGTTGGTCCCCTTCTTCCACCCACTAAGCGAGGTCATGATGCTATCTTGGTCGTCGTCGACCGCTTCACGAAGCGTGCACATTTTGTCTCGTGCAGCTATCGAATTAACGCTCATAAGGTCACTGACATCGTCTTCGACCGAGTCGTGAGAGATCATGGCTTAGCTCAGAGCCTCATCTCAGACCGTGACCCACGCTTTAACAGCACCTTCTGACGATCCCTACACGAGGTGTACGGATCCCTGCTCCGCTTCTCATCGTCTTACCAGCTTCAGACGGATGGTCAGACCGAGGTCACCAATAAAACTCTCGCTAATATCCTTCGAAAGTTTATTAGGGGTGACGAGCAGTGAGATTTACACTTGGCGCACGCAGAGAGTGTGTACGACCACGCCGTTTCGCCATCCACGGGGATGTCGCCATTCTATTGCGACCTCGACTACCACCCTCGCGTACCCTTTGAACTTCCTACGACTATCACGGTTGCGCCCAGATACTCGTTGTCCTGCGCTTGATGACTGGATCGCTCACATGACGACGATTATGAAGTGCGCACACGAGAGTCTAGTCGACTCCTAAACTCGCACGGCCGCATGAGCGAAATGATCACGAATAGATCATTCACTCAAAGTCAGTGATGATGTGCTCGTCGATGCACGCCACTAACAGATCGAAGCGGATATGCTTTGCAAATTCAAGCCTCGCTTCTTCGGTTCATGCCGCATCCTTCAGGCCGTCGAATGTGTTACTACCGCTAGTCCGGTCGGCTTCCATGTGAAGCTAGCTGACTACCTTCACCAGCCTCGCGCACACGATGTTTACCACATCTCCTTGTTGCGTCCTTATCGTAGACCGTCTGAAAGTTTCGATGGACGTCCTTATGAGCGCCCTCCACCCATCATGGTGGACGGTCATGAGGAATTCATCGTTTCCGACAGCGTATCTCGTCGAGTTACCGACGATACGCTTCCACGCATCGAGTACTTGGTGCGTTGGAACGGCTATCCTGATAAGGATGCTACTTGGGGAGCCCCTCGAGCACTTAGAGCACACCCGGATGTTGATTCGTGCATATCACTGTGCTCGTCGTGCCGCGACATCAGCTCCTACTCAGGCGACAGACCCTCTTCCTCCTCCTCTGGTTAAGGAGATTGTTGAGGACGAACTCGCTCCCTCTGAGGTCGTTCTTCACCATCAGATCGACGTCTCTGCTCGTCCACAACACACTCGTCGACGCCCGCGGCGTCGCAACGACTGACACTCTGATCACTTATCTTCTTCCTTCTGACTCACACCTCCAAGCACTCCATCATTAGCGTCTTCAGGATGTCAGTGTTTTCCGGCTCTTCTTCGACATCGACTAGACTCCTACTTCACTGACGTTATTGACCACTTCAACAACTTCAGCTAACCTTCTCGACTTCAACTACCTTATCGGCTTCAGCTACTTTGGACGTGACTCCCTCATGCCACCACCCTACCCTGTACATTCCCTTGCATAAGTCGCATGATGGTTCTCACTTAGTTGGGTCTCTCTGAGTTGGGTTCTTCCTTGGTATCGTATAGGCATTGAGACCGTAGTGTTATCTTGGCTTCCCTGCTCCAGATCTACCTCCGTCCCCCAGTCGGTGAGTTGTGTGCATGTTTCCCTCACCAATTGCATCCCTCATCACCCTAGTGTTGGCCATTGCATGCCCTTAATTAGGCATATGTCCACCCTATTCCAGGCTCCCCGTTTCATGTACGGTGTCAACCTTTCGTCGAGCATTACCCGCCTTGATGATCTATCTGTTAGCGTCATTGGTTTTGCTTCGCTACCACTCCCTCACCCTGAGCCTGATGACCTATCCCACCTTTGTGTGTGACTGCCCTAAGAAGTTTCGATTCTTAGGCTGCATTCACCCCCTCTGAGACCATCCCACTCTTAGTGGTTCAGCGACATGACATTATTTGTGATATATTGCTCTTTTTCCTTTCGGCACTGAGGCAATTGCCTCCATGACTTTAGAATTGTATCATGCTACATTTCACTTTTTGCTGTTAGTTAGGATGTGTATACCATATATTTGCTTTTCATTTGACATTATGTAGCTTAGGCTGCATTGCATTGACTCCGCATGGATTTTGCTCTGCATCCTAGATTTCTCAGCTTTCTTTATTGCAGATTTCCACTGGTTTTGTGGATAGCGTGTTTATGGTTCTCGCGATCTACTACACGTATGAGGATCATGCAGCGGGTCTCTATCTGCCAGGGCATATCGGTTTTTTTGCATGTTCGGCCTGTGGGACCAGGTCGTGGCCTGACCCAACAGGCCGCGTGCTATCAATACCAGGCCAGTCCAGTCTAGTCCAGCCAGCCTGCTGGGGTTATACCCCAACTCTTGTATGTTTTCAAGTCATTCTCAATTCTGAACATTTTGCAGTACGTGCTTGTTAAGTCCGCGTCGGAGCTGTGTTGTCCCCTCCTGCTCCATCTCCATCTCCTCCTCCCTCAACCCTTCCTCGTCATCCTGACGGACCGCCATCCCGACGGGGCCGCCACTCTCTCTCTCTCTCTCTCTCTCTCTCTCTCTCTCTCTCTCTCTCTCTCTCTCTCTCTCTCGCTCTTCGTCGTCGTCTTGCAAGTGTGTGACGTCCTTCAGAGACACAATTATGGCGGCTCTTCTTCTTCAGTGGCGGACGCTGATGTGGCGCGCAGCTCGCACCTCTACTTCTTTCTATTGATGACGACGATGGCTATGCGGAACAACGGAAACCAGCTCCACTACGGCGATACCAATGCAATCAGACTTGCAGACTTCGACTTCAGCATGCATACGAACAGATGACGGTCAAGCTGGCATCATGCGCCCACACAAAACTCAGAGATATCGAGGCCAAGAACACAGTTCAGATGCAAACTTGCTTCGAATGGCTATGGCGCCTGTGCGCCCTCTCAGCACCCTTGCGGCACTGTATTCCCAGCAACTGTTCACACGCACGCTACTCTGGATCTCCCTGGATGTCCCACACATGTACAACATAAACGCTATAGCCTATTTCTAACCTACAGCAGCTATGGCTGCCTTCTACCTCCCCTACTAATGAGCGGCTATGGTGGCTTCGTCTCCTTCACAGCCCACTTGTCCTTCTGGCACTTGCAGACCTTGCACAAGACGCTCAGGCAGCGCTTCCGCATTGCTCACAGGCAGATTGAATGACTGACTGGAGGCTGCCTCTTGATTTATACTTCAGTTGGTCACTGGTGTGCTCCTTTCCACCAGGCCCAGGGTGCACACAGTCCCACATGGTACTTGCTGACTGGACAAAGTGCAACTGGGACTGGGTACCCCTGACTACCTTCTTCCCCCGAATACAACGTAGGGTCATTATAGCTGTATTTGAGGCATCTTTCAGTCTATTTGAGGCATCTTTCAGTCTAGATACAGCTATAATGACCGTACAAGAAGGTAGGCAAGGTTGGACTGCCCACTTGCCCACTTGCCTCTAGCCTAACCTAAGCAATTCTCGAAAGGCCACTTCCGGACCTCTGTAGACAGGGCCTTTCGAAACTGTAGCAGCTAGGAATTTGACACAGCTACAACCCCTACTCGACAGACCTGAGGTTCAAGACCCGACGACCATACTAACCTGCGACAGACAACAAATGACTACTAAGACACAGGGCACGGGTTCAAACACACAGTGGTCGACTTGGTACTGTACATGGACGAGGACAAGGTCTAGGGATCGAGCCCTGCGATCTGCGTCTGCTACTGCAAAGGTGAATACCGTTTCAACCACATCCATAGTAAAAAAACGGAACCATACAGTAGGTCCGCAAAACCAAATACCCCAACCATGGGGAAGAGTAAACGGTAAAAGAGAATCAAAAATAGTTTCTATCTTCAACCAGAGCTACACCGTAAAAAGTAGGGACGCCTCTTCGTTATGCTTATTCGTTGCTCGAGAGTAAGGTCATAACGATGGCGAGTGGACATCCAGACAACCACTGATGCACACGCCATATAACAGATCCAATACCCACGCCCCTCGACGGGCGACCTCCCTCCCTCTCCCCCCCCCCCC